GAGATCCTGCCCTCTGGCCTTCATTGGAAGGCTTCAGTCCTTTCCCAGCTTCTGAGCAGAGGAGAAGAGCTCTCACCCGGCCCCCAACCTCGTGGGGTCCTGCAGGGCTTTCCTTTCAGCATTGGAGGCTCCACATGCAACCTGGGGCAGAAATCAGTTAAAACTTACACAGATGCCTTTACATAGAAGCCAGCTCAGTGCTGACTACTGAAGCAGGATTTAGAATATCTGTTTTTGAGGTTTTTGACTCCTGCATACCCTGATTATCTGTCATCCTTTATAAATGAAGTCTCCCTGCTCTTCACTCTGAGTTAATGCTCAGGTTTGTGTGTGTGCTCTGGTGCGATTTGTCAGTGATCTGAACAAAACATATTAAAAACCTCCTCAGTTTCTTCTTGCATAATTCTTTACTAAATGGAGAATTTAAATGAACTGTTTTACAACTATTTTCCATCAAAGAGTAAATTAATAAAGTATTTGGTAAGTACAGAAAAATTTAAGCCAAGAAAAACCACCTAGAGTCTCCTCAGCTAAAGATACTTGCTATGCCAGGGGATTATATTAAATTATAGAATAAATACTGCATTTGCCCTCAATTTCTAAGTCCAAGATTCATTCCCCACAGACAGCTTTCGTGTCACTTTGTGCTTAATGAAAGTAGGGTGTGGTTGAAAAACCCAGTACTGGTACCAGGACGGCAAGAGGACGTAGTTTTGTTAGATGCACACATTGTTCCTCCTCCTCCTCCTCCGGGCTGGTTTGTTTTTAGTTGTAATATTTTATTTTTAATTTTGGTGTCTGTGCAGTCCTTGCTGGAATATAGAGACACATTTGATTTCTGCATCATGTCGATCTCTTGTACGCTGTGACCTTGCTGAAGTCATTTATTAGCTCCAGTTTTTGTTTTTGTTTTTGGGGGTAGATTCCTTGACATTTTCCACATGCACAGTCACGTCATGTCATGTGCTATTCAGGGCGGCTTTACTTATACTTTCCTGGTCTGTCTACCTTATTTCCTTGTTTTATTTTCTTATGTCACTGGCTGGAACTCCCAGAACTCTGTTGAATAAAAGTGATGAGAAGAGACATTCTTGCTTCTTTTCTGATGTTAGGGGAAAACTTTCAATTTGTTGTCCATTCCTATTTTTCTCATTCTATTTTTTTATCCTGAATGTATGTTGATTTTTGTCAAATGATATCTGCATCAAATTGATACGATCATGTGTCTTTTAGTTTGTGTTAGTGTTTTTTTTTTTTTTTTGAGACAGAGTTTTATTTACGCTGTCTGTAATGGTCTTAAATTTATTCACAGCCCAGGCTGGCTTCAAATTTGCAGCTATATTCCTGCCTCAGCCTCACAAATTCTGAGGTTACAGGCATGCACCACCATGTGCAGCTTGATATTTCTTCTTTAGCCTGTTAATAGTTAACAGTGAATTACACTGATAGGTTTTTGTATTATCTCTACATACCTGGAATACACTCTGGTCATCGTGTATAATTCTCTATATAAATAGCCCAGCTTTATTTGTTAGTAGGTCAGCAAAGGTTTTACATCTCTCCCCAAGAGGTATGTTTTGTTTTTGCATTGTCTTTGCCTGGTTTGAGTGTCAGGGTAAAACTAGCCACATAATTTTGTAGCTAGTTGGAACATATTAACTGCTTTTATTTTCTTTCTTGTTTAGAAGAGATTTTATAGAATTATTATTATTAAAATGTTTAGAATTCTCTAGTATGACTATCTGGTCTTGGAATTTTCCTTCTTTGGGAGTTTTAAAATCATAAATTGGGACCAAGGATATAGTTCAGCAGCACAGTGTCTGCCTGGCAAGTGTGAGGTTATGAGTTTGATCTCTGGCACACAAAAAAATCATAAATTGAATGCTCTTAATAAGTATAGGATTACTGAAAATATTTATTTTATATTGGATGAGTGGTGGTAGTTTGCTTTTTTTTTTTTTTTTTTTTTTTTGTCTTTTTGAGACAAGGTCTCATTTTAGCCCTGGCTGGTCTTGAACTCACAATGATCCTCCTGCCTCAGCCTCCTGAGTTCTGGAATTATAGGCATATGCCACCACACCAGACTGGTAGTTTGCTTTATTAAGGAATTGGGCCATTTCTTCTAAATTTATGTATGTAAAGTATCCATAGTATGTATTAGCCTTTCAATGTTTTCAAGGGCCTGTATTAATAATAACTTGTTTCATTCCTGATATTGGTAATTGTTATAAATTTCCCTTTCAGCACTCTTCTGTGTGCCCAAATTTTATTTTTATTCAACTCAGTATGTTATAAAATTGTCCTTGAGTGGTCATGTGTGGTGGCTCAAGCCTGTATAATCCCAGCACTCGGGAGGCTGAGGCAGGAGGATCACTGCCAGCCTGAACTGCATAATGAAACCCTGTCTTTTTCCCTTGATGCTTATTCTTTGATCCTTGTATGATTTAGACATCTTCAATGTCCAGTTATTTAGAGGTTTTCTTATCTTCCTCTCACTGATTCCTAATTTTTTTCCATTGTGATTGGAGGAGACTTAAATTTTTTGAGGACTCTGAAACGAATGTGTATTTTGCTCTTGGGTGGATGGAATGTTCTATAAATGTTGATTTGACTTGGTGGCTGAGAATATTATTGGATTTTCAATATATTTTGTGATTTTCTGTTGAATTATTCAATGAGTCATTGACAGAGGTTTCCATCTCTAAATGTAGATGTTTCTTGGTCACTTCTCAGTTGTATGATTCATGGATTTTTCAGCTTTATTGTTTGGTACAAATACACTCAAGGTTGCTATGTCATTTTTCTTTCTTCCCTTCATTCTTCCCTTTTTTCTTTATGGTGGTGCTGGGTGTTGAACCAGGGCCTTCCTCAGGCTGGGCAAGCATTTGCCACTGAGCTGACCAGCCCTTTTCAGATTCTGAAGCAGCCTTACTAAGTTGTCCTGGCAGGGCTCAAATTTGTGATCCTTCTGCCTCAGCCTCCCAATTAGTTGGAATTACAGGCACGTGCCCTCACATCTTGCAAGATATCTGTTTTCTTAATGGATTGACCCTTAACTATGTAATGCATTAATTGCATCAAATAGATAATGTCTCTCTCTCTGTTCATTTTTTCCATGTGTATCATTCATTCATTTGGTATTGGAGAGTGGACCTAGAGCCTTCCGCCTGCAGTCTAACTTTATCTGACATTAACATAGACTCTTTTTGTTTTTGAGTAACAGTTGCATACTGTATCTTTTTCATATTTCTGTATTCAGACTGTCCATGGCATTACATTTGAATTTGGTTTGTTATCGAGAGCATATGATTGGATCATGTTTTTAATCCACTTTGTCTCACTGTCTCATTCATTTATTTGTTACTGAGAATTGAATCCAGGGCCTTTGCACTAAGCTATATCCCTAGTATGTTTTTCACTTTTCATTTTGAACCAGGATCTTGCTAAGTTGTCCAGGCTGGGTACAAATTTGTGAATCTTCTGGATCAGCTCCTAGAGTGTAGGAATTACAGGTGTGCACATCACACACCACTGTGTTTTTTAATTGGTGTACATTAGTGTTAAGAGGATTATTGATGTGCCAAGGCTTAGTGTGCAATTTTATGTTCTGCTTTTTTGTTTGTTCTCTTTGTTTTATGTTTGTTTGTTTTTTTAACTTTACCCCCTGTGGGTTACGTATTTTTTAGAATTCTGTTGTCATTTACTTGGTGTTTTTGAGGGAATGCCTTGGTGGTGTTCTAGGTATTGCATTATACATACATAATTTATCAGTCTACTGGCAGTGTCATTTTACCAGATTGAAGGAAGCTTAGAAGTGTTACCTTTTTTTGTCCCTTTACTCTCTCTTAAGTTATAATTGTTTTAAATATTCTTTTTCTACTTCATTCAGAAGCAGGTCAGAGTGCTACAGTTTTGTTTGAGGGATTTCTGGTTTTTGGTGTAGTGAAGGATTTCTCACTTGAAACCTGGGTGACTTTGCATGATACTATGGCACCCTGGCTCTATCAACCTCCACTTCAGCCAGCTTTTCTGGCACTGCTCAGGCAGAGGTAGTGAGCTCAGACTGAGGTAGAAGTCCAGGTTCTCTACTCGGCCTCTGTTGACTCAAAGTGGGGCTTGGGCCCTTGCTGCTGTGGGTGAGAGTGGAAGTTGCATCTCTGCAGGGTCCCCACTGACGCTGCAGTGGGAGTAGCTTTGTTACCACATGGCAAGTCCTGACTGTGACCCTGAGGGATGGGGTTAGAGGGGACACCTCTGTGTTACTGGGTGAGGGTGGACGTGCTGGCTCCACATACCTTCACCTGCATCTTGTTCTTTGTAGGATATTAAGTAGTATGCCTGGCCTCTAACCACCAGTTGCCATAACACCATTTAGTACAAACTAGAAATCATTTATTACATTTTTGAAAGACTGATTTTAAAAAGAAGAAAAAGTGAAAATAGAGACCATGATATATAGCTAGAATATTTACAAAGAAATTTCTAACATTCTTTCACATTTGAAACTAATGGTAGCACAAGAAAACAATTTTTTTTTTTTGAGACAGCATCTCACTATGCAGTTTAGGCTGGCCCTGAACTCACTTTGTAGCTCAGGCTGGCCATGAACTTGCAGTGATCCTCCTGCTTCAGCCTCCCAAGTGTTGGGATTACAGGTATGAGCCACCATGTCTGGCTAATAAAAAATTTCTTATTTTTCCAGTATCCAATCACTAATACCACAGTCTTTGAAACTAGGAAATGTATGAGTCGAGTCTGACTGTGTGATCTTGGGGAGATTTTCAACTCCTGAGCCTTTTTTCTTCTCTTGTGAACTAGAGCCAATATATACTTATCATTTAGGATTTTTTTTAGAGAACTAAGTGAAAATAAAAGTAGATGAGTCAGTGCATACACCTAGCAGCTGCTACTGTTGTTTCATTTCAGGAATGTGTTCTTCATTTATGGTTTACTATCTAGTATTTTGCTAATGTGGGACATTGTCATGTATCTTTCAGGTCATGCAGAAGGATTTTGCATGATGTGTATAATGCAAGACCATATTACCCAGGCACTCAATAATCCTGGGGATGTTATTAAACCCATGTTTGTCATCAATGAGATGCAGCGTAAGTATCAACGCAGAGAAGCATTTTCTTTTTCGGGGGGCGGTGGTACCAGGGATTGAACTCACAGCCTTGCGCTTGCCAGGCAAGCGTTTATGCCACTCAACTAAATCTGGCGAGAAATATTTTCAAGCAAGGTAGTCAAGGTAGTCTTTTCCTGAGATGAGGGCTAATAAGATTGCCTAAGGGATCTCCTTACCTCAGTCTCCTGGGTAGCTGGGACTACGGGTACGCACTGCCATGCCTGGCTTTTAGCTTAATGGCCTACATGATTTTTTACAAAGTCCAAAGTTTATTACAAAATAAACTACAAGTATGTTATTATGCATGGATATGTACTTTTTTAAAGACAAGATCTTGTTATGTAGTACAGACTGCCCTTAAACTCACTTATGTAACCCAGGCTGGCCTCAAACTCAAGGTGATGCTCCCACCTCACTGTTCTGGTGCTGAGGTTATAGTTGTGTGCCACCATACCCAGCTGATATGTGTTTAATTAACAACAGATGCGTAGTAAAACATTCACTATATAAACTATTTAGAAATTCTAGACATGACAATATAATAAAGAAGACTGGGCCAGGGATATAGCTCAGTGGCACAGCACCTGCCTGGCAAGGACAAGGTCCTGAGTTTGATTCCTGGTACCCAAACAAACAAAAAAGAAGACCATAGTTTAATACGAGCAAATTTTAAATGATTTAAAACTCAGTTTGTTAATAAAATCATTTACAGAGGCTTTTGCTCAGCTAGTTGGATTTCTGTGCAGAGTAATATAACTTGCATATTGTCCAACAGATTTCTTTAACAGATTTATATTTAGTTTTAATTTGGTAAATCAACCCTGTGTTATTCAAGAATTGTCAAAATAAAATAATTTATTAAAAAATTATACTAGGAGTCTAAATTTATGGACAAACTTCACTTTTTTCTATTTTAAATTTCTTTTTTAAAATTTTTATTTAAGGAGAAAAAAACAGAAAAAGGGTACAAGTTATACAAAATTTCAAAAAAAATAAACAGGAAATCACAAGTTAATAGTTACATATTGTCATCTTAGAAATAGTTGTTCAAGTTACAAAATTAAAGCATATAAAGTGGACATTCAAACAGTGAGACTGCAAACAGTTCAGTTCAATGATCCAACAAAAATTCAGTAATACGGTTATCTATCTTATACGCTTAAATATACATGCAGTTATATCCTTTAGAGAACTTTCTTCTCCTCTCTTTTTTACAATGACAATTACACATTTTGGGTTTTATTACTCCCACAGTTCTTATTACTTTCTTTTTAAGAGAATAAAACCAAATGTGACATAACAAAACAGAGTCAAATCAAAAGGATGGACATAGTACATAATGTAAAAACAGAATACAATGACAAAATGTAATCCATTAACTAGTGATTTCCTACTGTTTTTTTTTCTGTAAATCTGTATAACTTGTACCCTTTCTCTGCTTTTTTTCCTTTTTCTCTTTAAATAAAATTTAAAAAAAAAAGAAAAAAAAACAGAATACAAGGTGATCAACAATGGTTAACATAATGCCTCTTGCTATCTTAAAAAGAATTGCCTATATCATCAGTTATAATAAAATTGAACAAAACAGTAAAGAACAAAACCAATAAAACTAAAACATTAGAGACATTACAGGACTTCAAAAGACGATAATAGTCAAACCAGAATGGACATCATAGTGAATCTTATTGTCTTCACAGTTGTTGCCTATACTCTCAAACTTGGTACTATCAAGCAAAACAAAACAGAGTAAAATCAGTCAAAATAAGATGGTGTCTATTTTAAATTTCTAAATAGGTTACATGAAATTTTCTATGTGACCACCCTGCTCTATTCCCCCCAGCCGAGGGTCTGACTGTGTAGCCCAGGTGGTCTCAAACTCAAGATTCTCCTCCGTCAGCCTGGGATTACAGGCTTGCACCACCACACCAGGCTCTGGGTGCATTTTGCATTCACTTTTACATCATTTTAATTAGCCAAGTTGTAGTAAAAATGCTCACAGAAAAAAATTCTTTTCACTCTTAATCTAGTATCTAGCTTGGGTAATTATAGAGATGCATAATTATACAATGATAAACTATAATCCCTTTGTCTTAAAACCTGCTAAAGACTAAAGATTAAATTGACATTTAGCATTATTGGTAGACCAGAATGGACAGTGCAGAAATCTTTAAAACATACTGGCAGGGGCTGAGGATTTAGCTCAGCGGCATAAGTGCCTGCCTTGCAAGCAGGCAGTCCTGAGTTCGATCCCTGGTACCGATAAAAACGAAAAAGACAAAAAAAATAAATAAATAAATAAAAGATAAATAAAACATACTGGCAAACTTTTGACCAGGACAGGCTTTGATTATTTTAATTACTTACACATTTATTTTTAGACACACACATATATAGCAGTAATATATGAGTAATAACCTAATCTTTAGGAAAGTGTCATTACTCTGAGTGTGTGCACACATACAGTTAAATCATGGAATTGCTATTTATATAGGTCAGAACTTGGAGGATATTGGCAGTTTTACATGATATAAGCTAGAGTATATTTATAGACCTACACATATAAAACTCAATGTCGAATAGGTTTTGTGTTATTCATATACTTTTGCTATTGTTTTATTTATACTTTTTAAAAATACTTCCTTCTTGTAACTGCTGAGTCACTTAGCAGGATGTAATTTGTCCTGTGGTCATTGGTACAGGATCGAATAGTTTGGATATTATGTCCTGCATAGGGTCTCTTACGGATTCGAGTGTCATATTTATGAGTGCACTAACCTGACATTTTGGATGAACTTGTGTGGGTAGAACGATGTTGACTGCATTCACGTGAACTGTGTTAACCTGGTAGAGAGTCATTCCGCGGCTGCTCCTGGACTCGGGAACTGCAGCTCCGGGGCCTTGGTGAAAGTGCGCGGTGCTTGAGTGAGCGCTACTTTCTCATTCCGTGTAGTTATTTGGGGTTTTCTGAGTAACATCAGATGTAACTTGGCAGCCCTGGCATTTAATATGTAATGATAACGCCCTGTCTTTACTTAAAACCTACAGGCATAGCCAGCCACTTCCAAATTGGCGAGCAAGAAGATGCCCATGAGTTTCTTCAGCACACGGTTGACGCCATGCAGGAAGCGTGCCTCAGTGGCAGCAACGAGTGAGCACACAGCATTTCTTCAGTTTACACCTCTGCCTTGTTATGCCTGTGTTTATGTTGGGTGCACTTACCAGGCAAGCGCTTGAGCTGCCGAGCTAAATCCCCGGCCCCGATTTGCACTATTTTAAAATGACTGAAAGTTAAAAAGATGTCCTTACTATCACAATTGGAGTTGCTTCAATTATAGATGTCAGGAAATGAACATTGGTTTCGCTGTTCTTAATTTCCATGTCGGCACGCCCTGGCAGGTCTAAAAGTCCCTGCTTCTCCTAATCGTGCCAGACATTTTCTCTGTTGACCTCCAGCCTATTAAGTGTTTCCTGCCTCCTCCCTCTCCCTGTCAGTTAGGAGTTTCTGTGGCTTCTTCCTAAAATCTAAATGCAGACCCAAGAGAAAGACGGGCGAGATCCTTGTGTAACACTCCTAACCCACCCGCTACTGCCCGCACACCCGGTACAGGGAGCTCCCTTTGCATTCCTCTCCCTGTCCAGGGCTTCCCGGTCTGGACAATGACAAGACTCTGCCTTCCCTTCCTTCCCCAAGCCCACGTGGGGTCACAGGGCTGCTGAGGGCGTCTTCCTCCTGCCGCTTTGCTTTGCTTGAGAGCCAAATTCCTGCCTTGATTTCAAAGTCCCTCCATAATTTAGCTCCTTCCGTCCTCCTCCCCAGATTGTCACTGTGCCCCACCAGGCAGGGCCAATCTCTGATACCACACAGACTGGTCTTTTATTTTCTGTGGCTCTCGTCTCTGAATTCTTGTGCTTTTTAAAATATACATGCTTTTAAAATCTAGTTAGAGCCTCCAAAATTTTGCAGAATTCTTATATCAGTGTTTTGTCTTTCTCAGATTGGACAGACACACCCAGGCCACCACACTAATTTGCCAGGTGTTCGGGGGATACCTGAGATCTAGAGGTGAGTTTTTGTTCACAAGTTGATAAAGTGGCACACGCACGTGGTAGCAGAATGAAAACTGTGGAAATAAGGAAAAGCAGAGACCCCCTCCTCCTCCCTGGAGCAGCTCCTGTACCAGTTCCTAGTCTCTCCTCCTGGTAGTTTCTTATTCATCAGCACGCTGAGAGCCGACTGTAGAGTAGTTGTGTTTTGCCTTAACATGAGTAGTAATCTTTCTGCTTGAGCACACACAGGTCTGACGGGCTGTTCCACAGCTGCAGTGGTGCCCATTTGTCTTACTCCCCTATCGATGGACATTTAGCTTGCTGTTCTGTTGTCACCATCAGTGCCTTATATGAACACCACCCATGTACTCACGCTTTTGTGTCTGTGTAACAGTGTGCATGATAAACTCCTGGTATTAGAATTTCTTTATTTTTTTCCAGCCCCAAAGGGCAAGAATTAGAATTTAAATCCTAAGCTGTATTTTAAATTTTAATACTGACACGCTGTCATTCTAAGAGATCATACCAGTTTATATTCCACCCAGAAGTGTACAAGGGGCCAAATTCATAAGATCTTTTCCTGCACTTAACTTTTTTCCCAGTGTAGTAGGAGAAAAGTTATATTTTTCTTTTACTTTGAAATAGTATTATTTTCTGTAATTTTAATACTTGAGGCTGTCATATGATGACACTTTGCTTATCTTTTATTTTTTTCAGTCCAATGTTTAAATTGCAAGGGTGTCTCAGATACCTTTGATCTATATCTGGATATTACCTTGGAGATAAAGGTAAATTTAATAAACTTTTATGGTGGTCAAATTTTTAATCCTTCTTATACTTTGACTTTTCACTTAAGTAAATCTTAATAAAACCAAGGCTTTAGCCGGGTTTGGTGCTGTAAGCCTGGAGTCCCAGCACTTTGGAGGCTGAGGCAGAAGCAGCACAGCGAGTTTGAGGCCAGGCTGGCCCACAAAGTGAGTTCAAGGGCAGCCTGAACCATATAGTGAAACCCTGCCTCAAAAAAGACCAAAAAAGAAAGCTAGGGTTTTCCTTTTTCTTCTTTCTTTTCTCTTTCTTTTTCTCCAGCTTTTTGAGGCAGTCTCACTATGTAGTCCAGACTAGTCTTGAACTCACTGTGTAGCCCAGATTGGCCTCAAATTTGTGGCAATCCTCCTGCCTCAGTCTTATAAGAGCTGGGATTACAGGCACACGGCACCATACCTGGCTATAAAACCAGTCTTGGATACCTATACTAGCAAATCTTAGATGGTTCTTATTCTTTAGAAACTGTTTCAACATCTCTCATTTTCTGAACTATATTTTTGTTAGTTTTGAGCTTTTATTTTTCTGATTACAGGTATAATGCATGTTTATGATGAAAAAAGACAAATATTGCAGATATATGTAAAGTCTGCCATTCAGGACTAATGCTCTTAGTCATTTGATATACACTGCACCAGAATAGATTAGATACTAATTATAAAAATAAGAATTTGAACAGGGCACAATGAGGCATGTCTATAGTCCCAGGACTCTGGAAGGCTCAAGCAGGTGGATCACAAGTTTGAACACAGCTGGGCAACTTAGTGAAACCCTGTTTGAAATAAAAATAAGGAAAGGGCTTGGAAGTTAGCTCAGTATGAAAGCCCTGGGCTAGATCCCCAGTATTTCAAAAAGAGAAAAAACCTAAACCTTTGTCTACCACCATGTACTAAAGTCAAAATGGATCAAAGATCTAAATATTAAAACAGAAACACTAAATCTACTGGAAGAGAAAATAGGTAGAAATCTTGAAGACATGCATGTTGGCAACTCTTCAAAAACAAAACCCAGACTGCTTGGGAAACACTACGAAGAATAAACAAATGGGATCTAATCTTATTAAAAAGTCTTTGCACAGCAAAAGAAATCACCAACAGAGTGAAAATACAACCCATAGAGTGGGAAAAATCTATAGTCAGCTGTCCCTCAGACAAAAGACATATATCTAAAATATATAAAGAATTAGAAAATTAGACCCCACAAATTCAAAGACCCAATCCAAAAATGGACATCTGAGATGAATACGTCTCAGATGAAGAAATACAAATAGCAAATAAATATAAAATGTTCAACATCATTGGTCATTAAAGAGATGCAAATTAAAACAACACTGAGATTCCATCTCACTTCAGCGAAAATGGCCATCAAGAAATCAGCCAATGGACTGGGGTTAAGCGCCTGCCTGGCAAGTGCGTGGTAGTGAGTTGGATCCCCAGTAACAAAAAAAAAGAAATCAGCCAATAACAAATGCTGGAGGGGCTGTGGGGAAAAGGAACTCTTCTCCACTGTTGGTGGGAGTGTAGACTTCTGTAACCACTGTGGAAATCAGTGAGGAGATTCCTCATAAAACTAAGACTAAAGGTCCCATTCGATCCAGCTACTCTTCTTCTGGGTGTCTTCCCAGAAGAATTAAAAACGTCATACCACAGTGATATATGTGCACCTGTTTGTTTCCAAAATTTGGAAATTTTGGAAACAACTCAAATGCTTTTTAAGGAATGGACAAAAAGATGTGGCACTTTTATACAATATAGTACTGCTGAGCCATAAAGAAGGATAAGCTTGAGACTTTAAAGAACAATGGATGCAACATGAGTGAAATAAATCAGACTGGCATTGCGACCACCATAGTGTCTCCCTAGTATGAGAAACTGAAAGAGTAAGTGAGATCCAAAATGTACACTAGCTGTCGTGACATGGGAAGAAACTGTTCTAAAGGGAAGAGAAAATGTGATGGGGGAAAGGAGAGAAGGAGGAAGGGGAAATGTACACACACAGACACAAGATAGTTAGGACAGTCACACTACTAATTTCTCTTAGTGCACTGAAAAGACAGGTTTGTGTTTGTACTACTTGATCAGTTTTTCATGTCTCTTTCTTTTTTTTTTTTTTTTGTCTTTTTCGTTTTTATCGGTACCAGGGATCGAACTCACGACTGCCTGCTTGCAAGGCAGGCGCTTATGCCGCTGAGCTAAACCCCCAGCCCCCTCATGTCTATTTCTTGTAATCTGAGCAACTACTTTGAAGATGACAACAAGCAATGTATTAACCATTGTTACTCTCCTGTTGTCTTGTTTTGAATTTTGTATCACTGTTTTTATTGATTTTTCTCTTTAAAATAATTTTTTTAAAAGACAATTTTTAAAAAGCGATCATGCCTCTGTCTTTTTGTCCACTTGCTGCTTTCATGTCCATCTACTTGGAGGCCTTCCTCATCAGCGTGTTTGGGCAGTTGGTGGTGGCCAGTAGGTGGCCATAGCTCCTTGTTGATTTCCACTTTTACAGTATTCTAAGTAAAGCTGCACGAGCCATCTCCTCACATACTTTTGTTCACTCTAATCTGCTTGTTTTTAATTGGGGTGTGGAGCTAATCATCCTAAAGAAACAATTTGTGTGTGTATGGCATTGGAGATTGAACCCAGGGCCCTCTGCCACTTAGCCACATTCCCAGCCCATTAAAAATATATATTTTTTAAAATGGACCTAAATTGCTGAGGCTGTCTCCCAAGAAGCTGGGAGCTCAGCCACACACACCCATAAAAACATTGTTTTCATAATATTCTCCTTTGTTTCTCTGAGTCTTCTGCTTGCTTGCTCTCTCGTCTCTCTCATAAACCACGACAGCGCGTGGTGACGTGCTTTTGATGATTTTTTCCTCCCAGGGTACTCGGACTATCAATGAGGCACTGGCGCAGTTTGTGAAGCCGGAACAGCTGGATGGCGAAAACTGCTACCAGTGTAGCAAGTATGACGGGGCGACTTGCAGTCCCTGACTTGGCTGCTCCAGTTGGGGTGACAGGGAGCCCTGGTTTTAAAGAGCGGGCGTGTTTGAATGGCTGCTAGGTGGCCTTAGCTTCTGGTGCCATCTGGGAGATCCTGGCCATCTGTGCCCCAGAGGCCGGAACTGGTGCCCACACTGTCTCAGGATGGGCAGCTCTGTGCCCAGGGAATAGTGCTGCCACCCTGGGTGCCTCAGAGCTGCGACAACATCTGCTCAGCAGCGTCTTCCTTGATTCCTGTCAGACAAGACTGGAGGGAGGGAGGGTGGGGTTCCCTCCTCCCCCAGAAGAGCTGAGGATCTTTCTCACAGTGGGTACCGTGGGGTGCGGTAGTGTTGGCTGGAAGCCTCTAATCTACGTTACTCAGTGATACATTTCCCCAGCAGTGGAGTCAAGGGAGTCTGTTTTATGAATTCCTGTTTCATATGTGTTAAGTAGATTTCCACTTTATAGTCAGGCGATACAGATATCTATATTAAAGAATTTTTATCATCAAGTTTCAGTATTTGGGGGAAGATGATGCTTTTCTCACCAAGACCAGAGATTTTTCCTGACATTTTTCATCTTTTTTTTTTTTTCCTTTTGTATCTAGGTAGAACTTTGCTTTCACAGAATAATACCAGCATAAAATATCAATTTTTTTCAGTTTTTTGAACTGAGTTAATCTATTATTTTTTTTTCTGAAGTGCTGGGGTTGAACTCAGGGCTTTATGCATGCTCGGCAAGCATCCCACCTCTGAGCCACGCCCCCAAATGAGTTAATGTGGTTTTCACATCATCAGTACCTTACACATCCCAATGGTTCGGATTTCTGCTTTTTTTCTGTCATGCTGCTAGGCAATTTCCCCAAGTTTTGTATTTTGTTTTGTTTATTATCTATTTTTTGAGACAGGATCTCTCTGTAGTTGAGACTGCCCTTGAACTCACTATGTAGTCCAGGCTGGCCTAAAACTCATGGTAATCCTCCTACCTCAGCCTCCCAAGAGCTGAGATTATAGGTGTGTGCCTCCATGCCTGGCTAACCACAGTATTTTAAAACATTTTTACTGTTTGTTTAGAGAAGGTGATGTCCCTCATTTATTATCCTTGTTTTGGGAATCTTCAATTAGGGTGTTTCAAAGAAATAGGAAGGGAAAGACTAAAATGTAAAAAAATTCACACATTAATCTTCTTAATCTTTTGTTTCTGTTTATTT